CTCAGGGCCAGTGCCTCAGAGACGAGGTTAGCGGAGAAGAAAGCAACCTCAAGAGCAGGAAGGGGAACATTGTTGAGCTCAGAGTCAGCCGCCTTGTCCTTAGCGGGGGGATCAAAATTGAAATCCAGTTCAGGGTAGATCTCTTCAGCCCTGAGGTCCACTGAGTTGTGACATCATCAGCCAGTTTGGCAATTAAGCAATCTTTTTCCTTGACAACTACCCTTGCCACCTCAAGTTCATTTCGGAGGACGTCACTCGTCTCCACAATGATGTCATATTCTCTCTTCATAGTTTGAAAGGAACTTAAAGCTTCGAGAGACTCGCGGTTGGCTCTGAGCCAATCATCTATTTTCTGCTTAAGTTCCCCTTAGGTTTTCCTGAGCTCTTTCTTTGTTTTCTTAAGTTCCTCTTTGCAGCTCTTTCCCTCGCGTGCAATCTTCTCCCTCACATCTTCCAGACTCCTATTTAAGGAGGTCTGCTTCTCCATCTGCTTCTGCAAGTCCTGCACCTGGGCCTTGAGGTCACTGTTCTCAAAGGACAGTTCGGTAACCTTGAGTTCAAAACCCTTGGAAGCTTTAACTGAACCTTCCATGACTTGGATCCTCTTCAGCAGCCCGCTGACATGGAGGGCAATATGAAAGTGAGAAAATGTCAGATGAGAAGGAGCAAAATGAACAAAATATGTATGCACATAAAACATAAAACTTATAGAGGTAGCAGCGAAAAGAGCGGTAGATATAGAGCTCCCAAGAGGCATGGTGGAAGCTCGTTGGATGTCAGATTCGGGGAGAATGGAAGCAATGGCCTCTGCAGTTCTTTTTACATTATCAATCAAAGAACTCAAACTTGCTTCTGTATTCCCCCTTTTTCATGCCTATATATCTCAGGAGCCTTCTGAGGGGACCCCATAATTGGGCAAGAAGGGGTGGAGACCTAGCTTAGGTCAGGGACCTTACCAAAGGAGGGCAATCCCGTCTTCCGAGGAAAGGAGCTCTTTGCAACCTCCAGAAAGCCAAAAGAGGATTGGGGCCCCATTTAAGTTACAGAGGACGATTCCAATTTTGGGATTTGACTTCAAAAATTGGATCATCCCTTGGGCTGACCTCAACCTTACGTTTGTTTTCAGCCCGAGTCTTCCTCATCATAGATAATTTATCAGAACAATCCTTCGCAGTAAGCTCCATTAAGGAAGAACTTGAAAAAATTGAGAAAGAACCGTAAAAAAAAATAAAAAAAAAAAAAAAAAGGGGAAGGAGAAGGAGAAGAGGTAAAAGGTAGGGGCAAAGGTGAAAGGGGCAATACCTGCTAATTCCTCAACACTAATGGCAGAAAGAGGAGATGAATTTTTTACCCTCACTTCAGGAGGACTAAAGTCAAGCCTCACAAGGACTTGAGGTTGAATTAGCTCTGAATATCTCTCCAATTTGCAGTTTGCCAAGTTCCTTAGGACCTGTTCGTCTGCAGCACTGAGGTCTAGTCGGATGCCTGAGAAACGAAACCAGCTAAACAAGGTCAGCCTAAGGAAAAGCTAGAACTTATTCCAACTTGTATAAAAAAAAAGCTCACCCAAGTTGTTAGGGGCAGACCACCCCCGAGGGACAGAAAGAGTGTCCGTCACATCGGCAGGATTGAACTCTCATTCCCTCCCCCACATGAAGAACAATAATTTTTTCCAACATTTGTGGGAGCTCGGGAGATCAGAGATAAGAATCTTGGCTTTCACTCGTTTAGAGATGTACAAAAAGTCATCAGTGGGGAGATATTTGACATTGAAGAATTTCATGAGCAAAGACATGGTGGGGACACCCAAATTATGTTTCTTAAAAAAGATAAGAAGACCAACCAGTACCCCCCAAAAGTTAGGAGAAAGTTGGGTAGGACAAACATTGAAATGTTGCAAAATATTTTTGATGAAGGGATGCGGGGGAAAGCGGAGGCCGTTCTCAAAAGCAGCCAGGAAGAAGCACATTTTTTTAGGGATAAAGGAATCGTATAAGGTAAACATATTCGGACTCCAGAACTGGAGGCCTTGAGGAAATCCAAAGCGGTCAGCCAACACCTTCGTGTAAGAAGGAACGATGTCACTACACCCCACGAGCTCGAAGGCCCTGGGGGTAGCAACACCACCCTCAGCATTGCCTAAAATCTCCACACCACTTACTTTGGTTTTGCCTTTGCTGGGAGATTTCAAGGCATGAGGAGGCTCCTTAGTGCCTCTCTTGACATTGACAGAATCCACCCAAGAAAATCATCTATCTCTAACCCCACATCTCCCAGATCGGAATCTTCCTCAACGGACCCATCTTTCATTAGCGAAACAGACGATCCCGTGGCTTCAGAGAAAGCAGACATAGTTGGACAAGAATAAGGAAGCTTAAAAGACCTATAAAGAAGGGGGACCTCGGAGAAACACTCTTTGAGAGCCCAAGAAGCAAGACACCGAAAATCAATGGCGAAAATCCTAACTGTAGAGTAAAGGTCCAAGAAGAGAGGAAGACAAAACAGGGGAATACTTTAGCTTCTAGAGTAGCAGAATCGAAAGGCCCAAAAATGTCAAAACCACCTCAGACTTGAGGGATCCAGGGTAAGGAGCAGGGAAAGAAAGGAAAAATGTACCTAACCCCGAATTGGTGACGGATTAAAGCTCGACGAGGGGATTCGAAACCAAATCACGCTAAGCCTCTAAGTCAAAATTGGGGAAACCATCCCTCAGAGAAAACCCTAAAACCAGCGGCAGAATGGGAAAAATGAAGTCGTGAAAGGATAAGAAAGCCGAAAAGGATCTGTAAAGTGAGGAGCAAATCGGGGATCTAGGGGTATTTAAAGCTAACGGTACTGTGGGCCTCGAAACGGGCAACATGCACAAGGAACGAGGAAGGAAATGATTACTGACAACCGCTTTAAAAATAAAAAATAATAATAATAATAAATATATATTCCCGCGTAAATTTTGAAGTCGCTGATTGGGAAACCATTACTATTACATCCTAAGTTCAGCCCTTGCCCAAGCCAGCTCGGCCAAGAGCTGGGGGGCAACTAATGATACTCAGAATGATTCTCGATTAGGAGCTCGGGAACAGAGGTCAAACATAGAGGTCAGGTATACTGAGCTCAGAAAGTCAGAGCTATGCAAAGCTTAGAAAACCAGAGCTAGAGCTCCCCTCAAGCGAGATAATAAGCTTAAACAATTAAGAAGCAACTGAATACTATAAAGAACTCGACAGGTGGTTTGAAGTAACACTCAAGATACAAAATCTTCAACCAACCAAGATACTCTTCTAAAATCAAGAAGAATTCCTCAGATAGATGGCGAGGATCACGGATCAGATCTCATAGATTAAGGGTCACCCCTATAAATACTATATAACGCCCCCAACAGAGGGGCAAAACCCTAGTATCACATCTTACATTCTGTAAACCTTTTGGTATAGTAAAAAGTGAAGGAAGTAACAAGAATCTCCATTGCAGAGTAGATTAGCCGAGCTCCCAAGCTGGTGAACCATTATATTTCTACTGTGTTAATTCCCCAACTCCCTAACAATTCTCAGTATCATCCCTTTGAGTCTAATAGCTCAGATCCCAATAATTTCAATATTATTTCTTTCATTTACTTGTCATCACAAAATTGCATCACGTTGGAATACATTATCAATCTTCATTCCCTGGATGCAATCTTGCTTCAATGTAGTAAACCTATAAGAAATCTTGCTTCAATGTAGTAAACCTATAAGAAAATCCACGATCTGCTGGTTTTCCGGGGTGGTGGCATGACAAAGTGTTCTTTATGGGTGGAATTTGTTGGGATTTCACACGATTTAAATCCACTAACAAACACACACAATCGAAGAACAAATCAGGAATATAAAGCAATAAGAAACAAGAAAGAACAAGACACAGATTTTACGTGGTTCGGCAATTTGCCTACGTCCACGAAGCTGCAGGGATTTCACTATTGAGAGAGTTGAATACAGAGAACGGCTGTACAATCCACGATTAATCCTAATCACCAAAACAACAGGGTTTATATGTCCTACGCACTGGGCTGTATAACGGGCCCAAAAAAATTTTCCTCGGGGGCGTTGCCCCCGAAACCCCCGCGAGGCTTATCCATGAGCGCTACGGCTTGGGCCTATCAGCCCAAGCCTTCGCTCCATGAACTAAGCCTCAAAAAATTTTCCATTAAAAAATCACACAATATTATTTCGGGTCAGATCATCATCCGGATCACATATATAAACTAGACTCCATAAAAAAAAACCAACAGAATTGTGGTCTCATCACGTGCTCGTAAGATTATACCAGGGTTGAAATGTATCAAATAAAAGTCGATCGCCAAGACCACTATGGTTCGTCACAAGCATCCAAGATTTTTTGGGGGATTATATGACAATATACATTAGTTCATTATCTTTATGGTTTCTCGAAGAATTTGTTGTAGATATCAAGTGAAATTCAAATATTTTACATTGCAAAGAATCGTCAACTTTTTTGCTGACATGTTTTGACGAGCTTTCCGGCCTATTTATTTTGTGTTATCTTTAACAGATTTTTATGCACGTTTTTTTAACCTTATTGTCCTAATGAATTTTTTAATCAATAAAATAACGTTTTTGTAATAAATATCAATTATTTCTTCTCCTTCAAATAAGTTTTGATTATTTATTTCCTCATTGGGTCGTACACGAACAGTGCCCAAATTGTAATGAAATTAGTCAAAATAAGATACACAAGAAATTGGATATTACAAAAACAAACTGCAAATTATATATTACCGCAGAATGCAATGTGGGTCCAAAAATAGCCACATACGTTGACTTTATTGACATTTAAACCACAACCAACTTAATTCACTTATTGATTTTTATTGTTTGACATTCACAACAAAATGAGTGCAAAATTTGACAACCATGAAGAAAAAAACACAAGGACTCAAATGTTAATTCAACCACAGGAATCATACTCCCAAAGGAAATCACAGAACAGGAATCACAAGGATCAAACTACGCTGCCGGCTTGAGGGTGTTTCCTATGTAGATAACAAATCGGAATGGAATTTTGTTTTCCACAAGACGTTTCATTGCTTTGTTCAAATCTTGTATAAAAATAAGCTCGATATCTGATTTTATGTTATGTTTTACTACAAATTCAAGCATCTCTTCTGTGTCCTTCATACCCCCAATCATACTTCCAGCAATCATCTTTCGCCCTGTCATTCCATATTCCATGTTAACTATAAGAATAGTGGGGATGGTGATGCATATGTCTGTAATTAAAATTAGTAATGTTGAATACTTACGAAGAAGCACAGGAATGGTATGCATCTCAACTGGCTTCTCGGGTTCACCGACCATAATAAGTTTCCCATGAGACTACAGTATTTTGATCAATGGCGTGATAGGGTGAGGTTCAGGAGCTGTATCAATAATACCATCCAAAATACCTATCGCAGCCTGCTCATATAAAGCACAACCACGTGAGAACTAGTAAAATTTTAGTTATTTTTTCACATACACAAGGAGGTAGTCATTATTGGACTACGGTGGACTGAAGTCTAGAGTAAAAAAAAAAAAATTATTAGTAGGATATATGTATTATATATTTATATTATATATTATGTGTGTTCCCCTTATTTATATTAAGTCCACATTATTTACCCAAAAAAATTAAAAAATTTAACCCATTTAAAACAAAAAAATTTGAGCTCAATATTATCTACACAAACTTATTAAAATCTACTCAAACCTATTACAAAAACTTTTGACCCAATATTAAAAAATTAAAATTTTTGGCCCAACATTAAAAACAAAATTTTTGGACCACAATTAAAAACAAAAAATTTTGGCCTAACATTAAAAACAAAATTTTTGGGTCATTAGTGGATTATGTTTATTAGTTTACATTTATATTTTGTTAGTCGTATGAATGTTTAGATTAATCCGGGATAAACAAAAATCCTAACTCCACCTTTGCATATACATTAGTAGATCTGGCACTATTACCTGGAATAATGCACATGGGCGAAGCTATATTTATATATTCTAAAAATTATACATATATTTTTTATTTATACCCACCCTGTAATTTTATTTTAATTGTTTAGCCTTTTTTATTGTATTAAGAATTTCTTCAGATGACCTTAATTTTATTATTCATGAATTTTTGTAAGTAAAATTTCTTCCAATTGACCTTCATTTGATTTTTACTTTTTCTACAAGAAATTGTTTTTATTTTTATTTGAGTATTGATTATAGCTTTAATTATGTGTCAATCGATTTTTAATTTTTTTACTATGTTTTGTTCTTAATTTTTAGTTTTGTAGTTTTACTATGCTAATATATCAGTAATAATGTTTGGAACGTCGTTTATCAAATAGATTTAATGAATTATTTTTGAATAACTCATATTTTTTAATTACAAAAATGACAATTAGCTCAACATTTTTTTTACAATCGTGATAATTAGTCATTTTTTTATACATATATAATATATATTATTTTTTGCTTTTTTTATGTTAAATGGACTTCCTGTATCAAATATGATATAATAAAATATAAATATATTATATAGTATGATCAATTAGAAGAAAAAAAATAATGTGTAATTGAAGTTTCCACTCTAAATAAAATTCATGGTTCCATGATAAGGCATTTATAGTAAACGAAAAGAAATCACACACGAATGAATGGCCGAAATAGGGCGCAATAAACCTATGAAAAATAGGGGCATCAAGGCTAATTGACTTATTGACCTTTCAATTGTGAAAAAATGGGAAGGTGATGAACTCAGCTAAGCCCAATTGATTAATCTTAGGAATTTTTTTAAGTAAATGACGACAGTAAGATTTTAACTAACACTTACCTACATCAGTGAAAATTTTAATGAGACAAAAAAATTTACTGAGACAAAATATGTAAGCAAAATTACAATATCAGTGAAAAATTTATAAGAGTAGTGAGCAAAATTAGCATAGTAATGAGCAAAATTACCACAGTTTAAACAAAATTATAACATCATTGAATAAATTACAACCATAAATAACAAATGTCTTGGGCACCATCGCTTTTCTCTACTCTTATATTGGCTAAAGTTATGTCATATGTGGCTAATATTAAAAACTTAAAGAAAAATCTACATCAATTGTGATGTCTTTACCCTAAGGGCTGGTAAATTCATCCTAAATTCTAGGAACGTCACCCAAAATTATCATAATATCATACCTAACCATGGTAACGTTACCTCAAATGGTAGTAACATTACCTGATAATAGTAAATTCACTTTAAATTATGGTAAATTCACCCACATCATTGTAATATCATCCCAAATGATGGTATTTTTAATCCAATTGACATTCAGTTGTTCATATTAACATTCAAATTAACATTGAATTCATCCAATTAATATTATAATTTATCAAATTAATATTTAATTTCATCAAATTAGTATTCAATTCATTCAAGTAATATTCAAATTCATCCAATTAACACTCAATTCATCAAGTCAACACCAAAATACCATGCAATTTCATTTAACAAATATTTAATTCATCAAATTGACATAAAATTAACTTACAAATTCATCTAATTGGCACGTAGTTCATCCAATTAATATTCAATTTTATTCAATCAACATTCAATTTATTGAATTAATATTCAATTACATTTAATTGATAATTTATTACCAAAAAAAATTTAATTAACAAAATTAACATTCAAATTCAATTTTTTAACATCAAATTTATTAAATTAAAATTTAGTTTCAACAGATTAATATTCAATTCATCAAATTAACATTCAACTAATCAAATTTATATTTAAACTCTAATTAACAATCAATTCATCAAATTAACATCCAAAATAACCAATAAATATTTAAATCAACAAATTAATACTAAAATAACATTTAATAATATTTAATTAACATTTAATTAATTAAATTAACATCCAAAATCATCCAATTAGTATTCAATTCATCCAAATAATATTCCTTTTGTCAAATTAACAATGAAAAAAATTTAAATTCTTCAAATTAACATTAAATTTTATTTAGTTAGCATTCAATTCATTATATTAACAAAAAATTCATATTCAATTCATCAAATTAACATTAAAATTCAATTAGTTGACATTAAATTCATTAAACTAACAACAATCCAATTAATATTCAATTCATCACATTAACACAAATATAACAATCAATTTTTTAAAAAATATTAAATTTTGTCTAATTAATATCTAAATTCATCAAATTAACATTCAATTCATAAAATTAACAAATAAATTTCATTTAATTAACATCACATCCAAATTTATATTTAGTTTCATCAAATTAACAATTCATTTAAGATTATTAACATTGAATTTCATTAATTTAAAATTTTATTTCATGAAATTAACACTAAATTTACCTTTAATTTCAGCCTGTCAAGATTCAAAGTCATCAATTAAAAATTTAATTTCATCGAATTAAAATGAAATTGACCATTTGTTTAGCTTATTAATATTTAATTTTATCAATTTGACATTCTATTGCGTTTATACATTTAATTTCATCGAATTGATATAAAAGTTACTTTCAATTTTACCAAACTATTATTAAAATTCATCAATTCAAAATTTTAATATGATCAAATTAAATGAATTGGCCATCAATTTCATTTTCTAAAATTTAATTTCATCAATTTAATACAAAATTGATATCTAATTTCATCAAACTAACATTTGAAGTATTACATTTCATCAAACTAAACATTCAATTTCACCAAATTCACATTGAATTCATCCAATTAACAAAGAATTTACTAGCAACTGAGATACTAACAAAGAATTAAATTTTTGAAATGAACATTAAGTTTTATTTGATTGAGATCCAATTCATCAAACAAATGCGAAATTAACAGTCAATTTCTTCAATTCAAAATTTAATTTCATTAAATTAACTTTCAAATTTATCAAATTATCATTAAATTCATGATTTGAACATTTAATTTTATCCAATAGAGATCAAATTCATTAATTCAACACTAAATTAACATTTGATTTTATCAATTCAAAAATCAATTTCATCAAGTTAACACCGAATTCGCATTCTATTTTATTTATTACAAATCATTTCACCAAATTAACCCTAAATTGACCGTTGATGTTATCATATTAATATTTAGTTTCAACCAATTAATATTTACTACATCAAACTAACACCAAAGTAACTTTCAATTCATCTAATTAATATTTAGTTTATCAAATTAACACTAATTTAACATTTAATTCATCTAATTTATATTTAATTCATCCAATTAACGTTTAATTTATCAAATAACTTTCATAATCTTCCAATAAACATTCAATTCATCAAATAAACACTAAAGCAACATGCAATTTCATTCAATTGACATTCAATTTTATTGACTTTTTTTTTGAAATAAAACGAGCATCTTAATTGTATTAGAAATTAAAATAAAATTTAAGAGAAGCATATTAATTTGATTAAAGAGACAGTTATTTAGTGTTAATTTGAAGAATTGGATGAAATTAAATATTAAATTCATGAATATTAATGTTCATTTAATAAAATTGATGATCAATTTGATGTTAATTTGATGAAATAAATTTTAATAATTAAAATTGTTGGTGAATTTGGTTTTAATTTGATGAAATTGACTTTTTAATAAATGATATCGAATATAAATTTAGTGCTGATTAATAAATTGGATATCAGCTAGATAAAATTTAATGTTAAATTGATGAATTATGAATCGACTAAATCGAAGGTTAATTTGGTATTGATTTAATGAATTGGATCTCAATTGGAAGAAATGGGATGTTAAATTCATGATTGTTAAATGTTCATTGGATCAAATTGACAGTCAATTTAATGTTAATTTGATGTAATGAATTTTTAAAATGATGAAATTAAGTGTTAATTTGATGTTGATTTAATAATGTTAATTTGACATTATTGGTGTCTATTAAACAAAAACATTGGGATTTGTTGAACAAAAACATTGGGATCAATCATATACTAAAGCAATCGATCAATATAGTAGTTTAAGTTTTGTTTGTACCAGGAAAACTGTGATTGATCCTATAAAGGAAGAATAGATCATTGTACTATTTTTTTTACCATAAAAATAACAATTGATTCATAAAATTAATATTCAATTTATTAATTAATATTCATTCATTAATATTCAATTTATCAAATTAATATTCAATTTATTTCAGTTAATATTTAATTTTTCAAATAAATTAACATTCAAATTCAGAAAATTAACTTAAAATTTTACCCAATTAGCCTTCAATATATAAATTAACAACTAAATTTACCTAATTAACATTAAATTCATCAAATTAACATCGAAAATCATTCAATAAATATTTAATTCATCAAATCAACACCAAAGTGGCATGTCATTTTACTTTTAATTTGGTTAATCTTAAAATAATGATGGAT